CCATTCCATTCCACTCCACTCCACTCCACTCCATTCCATTCCATTCCATTCCATTCCATTCTATTCTATTCTATTCTATTCTATTCTATTCTATTCTATTCTATTCTATTCTAACCCATAATTCTATTCTATTCTATTCTATATTCTATTCTACTCTACTCTACTCTACTCTACTCTAACACATAATTCTATTCTATTCTATTCCATTCCATTCCGCTCCACTCCACTCCACTCCACTCCATTCCATTCCATTCCATTCTATTCTATTCTACTCTACTCTACTCTACTCTATTGTATTCTATTCTAACCCATAATTCTATTCTATTCTATTCTACTCTACTCTACTCTACTCTACTCTACTCTACTCTACTCTACTCTAACACATAATTCTATTCTATTCTATTCTATTCCAAAAACGAGAAAGTCCAGTTGCCTCTTGAAAAAGCACCTTTGGGACACTCATGTCCTGCACGACGGAGAATCTCCATAGACGTTTAGAAGGAGGAGTGTTGGAGATAGACCAGGGAAGCAGGGAGACCCCCCCAGCACCCAAAAACTGAGGCAGGCCCCCCGCTTGACCTATGCTTTTCCCTCCTGCTCCAGGGAGACCCCCGTCGAGCCTGGGGAGGAAGCCAAAGTGATGGTGGACTTCGTGCCCCAACAGTTCGGCCTGCGGAAGCTGGTGGTGGATTTTGAAAGCGACAAGCTGAAGGGGGTGAAGGGCTACCGGAACGTCATCATCGCCCCCCAGCGCAAATAGAGCCAGGAGCCCCCCCAGCCGAAAAGCCAAACAAGTCCAGGAGCCCCCCCCCCAGATGCCCTGTGTGTGTCACTTTCTACCTGCACCCCCAGCTACACCCACCTTCCAGATGCTTCTATGCTCCTGCCATCACCAAAGACCGGCCCCATCCCACAGCTGGTTGCGGGGCACCCCAAATCCTAGCATTGACGTGGCTGCAATTGGGGAGGGGTGGCGATCCTTGACTCGGGATGCCCGCACGAAGGAGAACCACCCCTGTACGATGTGACTTCTGGGGGTGTTCTGCCCTGCCAGAGGTCCCAGACCCCCCCAGACCCCCACTTTGTGGGTCTTTTCGATCCTATTAAGATGTTTGCCATCGATTCTGTTTGCCTGGGATGGTTGGGACAGGAGGTCAGGCTGAAGGAGAGGGGGTGTCCAATGTTGGCCACTTTAAAAGACTGGTGGACTTCAACTTTTAAGACTGCTGGACTTCAACTCCCAGCATTCCCCAGCCAGACTAGAGTTTCTCAACCTTGGCCACTGGACGATGGGTGGACTTCAACTCCCAGCATTCCCCAGCCAGCATAATTCTGGGATTTGAAGTCCACCCATCTTCAACTAGCCAAGTTGGAGAAACGCTGAGTTAGAAAGATAGCCAGATCTCGAGAACAGCATTTTATGGGT